TGTGCCCACCTTGTCTCACCAAAGGAGTCCCCTGTGGAGGTGAGGAGTAAGAGAGGAGTGAAATGTTGTTCGGGATTTTGCCTATTAACAATTCTCTTGCCATTTGCTCTTGAGAACAGACCTCAGAGCTAACTCACATCAACACTACTCTCCAGCTCTGCCCCTACACCCTGTTATTTCATCAAGGTGAGGGGATTTGTTTACCTTCCTACTAATTATCCCCTTGGTGAGAAAATGAGAAGAAAGTGTAGCTGATCACAGAGTCTTTCCCTCCATGATTATGCTGGGGATTGGATTGCCCCGCGGGGCTGCCAAATCCCTGCAGAACTCTGTCACAGATGACAGGGAGGAGGGTGCAGCTCTGCTCTCTGCAGCCCACTACCAAGCAAGGGTGCCAAGGCAAACAGGCTGGGCCCGGAGCACCATAATCCCTCTCCAAACAAGAGATGAATTACAAAGCATGAGGTGCCCAGTGGTTACTCTGACACACTGTGCTCTCAGGGCTCCAGATGAGGCTACAAGTCTGAGGAGCTCTTCACCCTCTATCTCCCTCTGCAATGCTAAAGGGTAATGGGGTGGGTGGGGAACAATGACAAATGTTTCCCCAAGGCAGTTCCTCCCAAGGGTCCCCAGGCACAGAAGCCAATCATAGGGAACTCCCCACAGCATCTCTGTATTTACTGCTTGCTGCTGAGAAATGCAAAGCCCTTCTCAGATCTCATGCCACATGCTATAGTGTGGGTAACAGCCCTCTTTGGGGTAACAGAGGAGTGGATAGTAATTATCCTTACGTCCCATATCAAATGGAAACGAGGCAGAGAGATATTAAATTAGGATTTTTAAAAAAATTCCTACAGCACTTTGCAATGTACAAAATGCCTTCATATACACTCTGTCATCCTGACTGGGCAGGATGGCTCAGTTCCATTTTACAGACAAGAAAGTAAAGCTCTGAAGAAATGACTTATCTGGAAGAGAGACTGATGGGAATCTGCCCCATAACTTCAGAGGGATTGTTTACCCAACCAAAACCATCCAGCCTCAAGCAGGACTCTTCCAAAGGCTGGCACTGCCACAAGCCTGGTGCCAGGCAGAGGGCAGGGCATCACCTGGCTGGAGGGCTTTCCAATGTGCACAAATATCCTTGAAGCTCTCAATAGCTCAACTGAAAGCATTTTTTTTCCTTTTTTGTTTTTTGAGACCAAGTCTCACTCTGTCACCTAGGCTGGAGTGCAGTGGCACAATCTTGGCTCGTTGCAGCCTCTGTTTCCTGGGTTCAAGCGATTCTCCTGCCTCAGCTTCCCCAGTAGCTGGGATTACAGGCATGCCACCGTGCTGACCTAATTTTTGTATTTTTAGTAGAGATGGGGTTTCACCATGTTGGCCAGGCTGATCTCAAACTCCTAGCCCCAAGTGATTCACCTACCTCAGCCTCCCAAAGTGCTGGGATTACAGGCCCAAGTTACCACACCTGGACAACTGAAAGCATTTTAAAATTCCCGGCTACTGGAGTAAATGCATAAATGTCACATGCTGAAAAATACTTGTTCATTCTCCTAAACGGTGTCTTTCCTTCTCCTTCTGTTTTGGGACCCCGGATGAGTTAAACGCTTTTCAAAGCCAGAGCTCCACCCTGATTGCACAGGTCAGGAAGAGCCTTGTGGGTAACCTCAGTCAGGATGCATCCAGACCCTGTCTCCATGGCCTGCAGAGCTGCTCTCTGAGGACTCACCCCACTGCCTCTCATTTCCCAGGCTCATGGAGATACACCGCTTGTCACCTCTAGGCCTGAAGGGCAGATGGAGGTGAGATGCAAAGGAAGACTTCCATCATAAGCAGACGGAAGCATTCCCAAGCACCTCGGCCAACCTGGATCCTAGTTTGATTACTAAAGAATAGGGAGATTTCAAAGTAGAATGACTAGAAACTTGTTTACAGAACATAATACTGTGGGCACACAGCAGTTATCTGTAAGCATTCATATCTGTTAAGGACATATGGACTTATCCTCAAGCTCTGCCTGCTACACATCTTGTTTTAAATCCCTTGGTCCTATTGACGTTAAAAATAAGCCCCCAAGACAATACTGTATATGTATATATGCTTGTATGCATTCTCTATACATATCTGTATGGAAGGTCTTGGGGGTAACAGCAAATAAATAACTATCGTGACTTGAGGCATTGCCAGGTTTGGGAAGTGGCTGGAAAAGGGTTTGGAAGTTTCACCGAAATTCAGATCATCCATTTCTTAGTGGTGTTCTCTTAACAAGTTGTTTAACCTTTCTCAGGCTCAGTGTCAACTAGGAAATGGGGAGAATGACACCTGCCTTGCAGGATTGCTGTAAAAGCCAGAGATCATACACCTCACATGCTGGCACACAGCAGACACTCGGTAAGTGCTAGCTATAATTATTACTACTGTAAAGGAGGATGGGGCTGGGTGTGGTGGCTCACGCCTGTAATCCTAGCATTTTGGGAGGTCAAGGCAGGCAGATCACCTGAGGTCAGGAGTTTGAGACCAGCCTGACCAACATGGCAAAAGCCTGTCTCTACTAAAAATACAACAAGTAGCTGGGCATGGTGGCACACACCTGTAATTCCAGCTACTCGGGAGGATGAGGCAGGAGAATCACTTGAACTTAGGAGGCAGAGGTTCCAGTGAGCCAAGATTGTACCACTGCATTCCAGCTTGGGTGACAGAGTGAGACTCAAACAGAAACAAACAAACAAAAAAGAGGATGGTACCAAAAGGCCATACCTCTCCCCTCCCTGTAGCCATGGAAACTGCCTCCTGCTGAATAAGAGCATTCCTCCTCATTCTCTAGTCCTGGATTTGCCTTTGAGTCTCTGGTGTAACTCTGGCATAGAGGCTAGTTAGTTCCCGGTGGGGACCAAGTGTGCAGGCTATTCCAACACACCTGTTCCCCCTTTCAGCCTCAGATCCACTCTACCTGCTGTGGTGACTGACCTCTGTAGGCTGCTTCTCCAGGGCTTCATGCCCTTTGGCCTCAGGCTAGGATCTGCCAGTTGGCAACACCAGCACCAGATCTGGGAATTTATTCCTCCCTCTCTCCCTGCTTGGTCAAATCTCTGCAGTGGCTCTGTCCTACCAGTAGCCATCGCTCCTGTTGGGCAGCCCCTCTTCTATGATTCCAGCGCTTGCTTCCTCTGTAGGTGGTCCCTTCATTAAGTTCTCTCCAGATAAACCTTTTTAGGGCACCATCTGCTTCCTGCCAGGACCCTAACCAAAACAGGGGAGGAGGTTTTCTTGATGCAAACTGTAACACTGTCAGAATGAATTTAGCACAAGGAGATGTTAAAAATAATTATAAGCTGTGGAGGCAGACTAATAATGTTCAGGCTAGGGTGCTGATTTTCATTACTTGAACCTCTAAGAATTAACTTTCTTCTAATAGAAAAGTAGAGAAGACAATGAAAAAACAGCATAAGCCTAGAGATACTGGCTCTTCCTTCAATGAGGCACCCGTTCTGTAACTCTCCAAAGCAACAAGAACCTTGCAGCAGGAAAGAGAATTTGTTTCATCCCTGATGGCCACTTATTCTGTGCCAAGCATCATGTAAGTTATCCTACATAAACTGTCTCAAGGTGAGGTGAGTACTGTTAGTATCCCCATTTTTTCAGACGAAATAGAGTCGTAAAGATAGTAAGGATCGTGCCTGAGGTCACACAGCTGGTCAGTGCAGAACCAGGATTTGAATCTGAGCAGTCTGGCTCTAGAGTCCGGGTACCCCAAACCAATGCATATATGTCTCCTCCTTTGAATCGCCTGGAAAGGGGGCCGAGAGCAATGAAAAGTAAAGCAGGGAGGCAAGCTCAGCCTCTCCTGCTAACAGCCTCAGCTGCTGAGGTATGCTCCCATCCATGAGATGCCCCCAGTGTGGAAACGGGGCTGTGGGGGCATATTTCAGCCTCTGACCAGGATCATCAGCCACAGAAACTAACCAGAACTGAAGGAGTGTCTGTGAAAATAAAACAATATAAAGAACCACAGCTTCTGAAGACAAAGAGGGTCCATGCTAAACTAGGATTCTCTGCAACATTATCAAATACCAAACCAAATCCTGCCTGAACCCTTCAGTCTGTAAGAGAGATCCCTCTTTATACTTGGAGAATTCAGTGGCACATGGCATGAGGACAAACATCCAAAGCTTAAAAATAATGATCTAGAAACTCTGAACAACACGGAGAAGGAAAAACAAATGTTGTAAACACACTGGGTTATTTCATCTGGAGAAACGAGCAGTAACTTCATCACTTTCAGAAAAAAATTATCTCTTGGGCCAAATAACCAAAACACCAAGAACATCTTTCCAATGCCAAATATCTTTCCAGTGCCATTCCCAAACCTTGCCTGTAATTCAGCACTTGTTAACAGACCCATATTCCACCTGCAAAGAAAGCAAGCATTCCATCTTACGCCTACTGGAAAGTTTAATAAATGAGGCATAGTACATTGCTGATTGACATATCACTCAACCAAGGCATAACAGAATAAACACTTAACTCCAAAATGATTTGTAGTCTGGACACAGTGGCTAAGTCTTGATTCTCATTCTGTTTCACATAACATTCACTTTTTCCCTGCTTAAATCTACCTCCCTCTTATTGAAAAGGCAAGATGCGTGGGTAGTAGGATGAAAGATTCAGCCTTGTGCATATTTACACATAGTTTAATAATCCCAGGAGAAAATAAATTGACAGAATGGTATTTATACCAAACAGTCAGAAAACAACATATTAAAATAAACTGTCAAATGGTTGCCCAGTATGAATAATCTGCATCCAATCATCCAATTTGTGTGCACATTTTCCCCAGTGCAATTTCCACTTTGAGTTCTAGCTTTTTGACTGGATAACAACACCTGAATTCATTCTGCAAATGAAGCCAGCTGCAGCAATTGTAAAAGGACTTTAAAGTGGACCTGGGTACACCAAAAGTGATTTGCAAAGCCCTCTGTCTTAGAGCTCCATCTTACCAGTCGAGTCAGCCCCAGAAGCCCGGCCACTCGTCTGCTCCTCAGCATTAATGAGCTGTAGGTCTGTATATGAACATCCAAAGCTAGGACTGCTGGTGTCTTCAGAATGGGTGGTCCAGCTGCTCTCAGAGGTCAGAGGGCATCTCCCCAGGGAGTCAAAGGAAGGACATGTCCAGCAGGGCATGGTCAATGGTAGGGCTGGGGAGAGACCACAAACCAAAAGCGTAGAAGATAAACAGTTGTACTTAGTTTGTCTTTAGTGATTATCTTACTTTCATCTTGCTCCCATCCTATGAAATCTCAACAGTCATACAAGGCAAGGAAGTCTTGTATGGGGAATATCACTCATGACACAGACAGGGAAAACTGATTGACTGAGACCCCATGGTGAGTCAGTATCAAACCAGCATGAAAACTAGGGTCTCAGGACTCTCCAATCAAAGAAAATCTCACTAAAGAAATATGAGTTACTTCGGGGTCTAGTTTTACTTCTAAACTTAGATTTCACCTTCATTCAAACCCAAACTACAGGAATCTTGCAGTCTCACCCTTACTGTTACATTTCCTCCATTTTTAGTGGCACAAGAAACCCACCAATTTACATTGAAACATTAGAGCCAGTTTAGGTTAATGGCTAAAGAGTAGATATGTAACTATATGTGTACATGTATGTGGCATGCCCTGCTTGCTTTGAGTTCACTGTAACGGGAGATTCTGTAGACTGTCACATATACAAATGGAGATTTACTAAGACTGCCAACCTGCATGCAATACAGTAAAAAATACTTTTAAGGGGAAAATGCATAAAGCTTGGCTTTATCTCTTTAGTCTTAAGAACCAAATCAGACTTTAAAAATTCCTTTAGAAAAGTTTTTTTTAATCAAACTTTCAAATTCTCCTAATTTGTCTTTAATTTCTTATCACATGCTGTCTCTGCGGTGCTGCATAAGAATCATATCATTACGGCCGGGCACAGTGGCTCATGCCTGTAATCCCAGCACTTTGGGAGGCCAAGGTGGGAGGATCACCTGAGGTCAGGAGTTCAAGACCAGCCTGGCCAACACGGCGAAACCCCGTCTCTACTAAAAAAAATACAAAAATTAGCCGAGTGTGTTGGTGGGCACCTGTAACCCCAGCTTCTCAGGAGGCTGAGGCACAAGAATCGCTTGAACCTGTGAGGCAGATGTTGCAGTGAGCTGAGATTGTGCCACTGCACTTCAGCCTGGGTGACACGAGAGAAACTCCATCTTAAAAAAAAAAAAAAAGGGAATCATATCATTCCAAGTTTACCAACAGGTACTGAAAACAAGTGCTGAAAAGAGTATAAATAAGACAGGAAGAATGAAAACAAGAACAACTACCATTTATTGAGTGCCCATCAAATATCAGGCATTTTACAAATGTCTCGTTTCATCCATCTATCCTGAGAGATAGGCAGTAGTCTTATTTAACTCAGAGATATTAAGAAACTTGCCCAAGATGGTAAAGTCAGTTCTGCTGCCTGGAAAACCAAAACAAGTAGAAAGACAAAAACTGAGATTTAAGAGAGAAGAAAGAATAAATATCAGTGCTTGCAACCGTATAAATATAAAACTTCTCATTCCTTATTCTCTTGGGCATTTGTAAAGCATTCAGGCCTTTTTTCTGGAGTGCTCACTGATCACATCCTCTTTTCTTTAAAAATGTCACCCTTTCTGCATATTCCTGAGTGATTCTCTCCTTCTCTGCTTTATGTTTTCTTAGTATTATCACTGTCTAATGTACTACACACCCATGTTTTCCATACTAGAATCAAAGCTCCTTGAGGGGGCAGGGATTTTGACCTATTGCGTTCACCTCTATACCCCCATTCCTAGAACAGTGACTGGTATAAGGCAGGCCTTCAACAAATATTTGTTGGTTATGTCAACAGAAGTGCCACCAATCATTCCATAACAGTCTATACTAAATACAGAATGTTAAAATTGGACTGGTATCTATAACCTCTACCCACATATATAACACATTAAAATACTAAAAAAGAAGAAAAAATAAATTTTTTTTAAAAACCAATCAAAAATAAAAAGCAAAGCTAAATTTATAAAAGCTTGCTATATGACACCATTTCCTATAGTATGGTGGTTTACATACTTTAAACTACTATGGAAATAAAATTAAAATATTTGTCAAATGTAGTAACATTATTTAAAATACATCACAGGGTGAACAACAAAGTAAAGAATCATCAGAGGCCCAGTGAAAGCTACAACCTCAAAAGGGTAAACAGAGGACAAAAGCTGATTTTCACTCTCAAGATTTTGAACAAACCAGACTCTTGAGTTTTCTGAACCTCTTATGAAAAAGGCAAAGGAGAAAGAAGAACCTAGGGCCAACTGAAGAAGAGCTGATGCATAAAGTGAGAATTCCTAAAAGGCTTAAAGGGTAAATTAGAAATAACCTCCACCCTCTAGCAGGAAATAGCAAAGAAAACTGTCTGCCTTAGGATTGGGTAAAAAGTAGAGGAAAAAACACCTCCTGAGAGTTAATAATCACAAATTGTCTCAGATGGGGTGTGCAGCTAAAAACTACTTGTGTGGTCCAAAAAACCTCCAAGTTGAGACTAGTTTAACTACTTCCAGGTTAGTAGGCCTCAGGCATCCAGGAAAAGCAAATACTATAATAATGGCTTTTTTTTTTGGAGACAGAGTCTTACTTTGCTGCTCAGGCTGGAGTGCAATGGTGCAATCCCAGCTCACTGCAACCTCCACCAGGTTCAAGTGATTTTCATGCCTAAGCTTTGCATGTAGCTGGGACTGCAGGCTCCCACGACCACACCTGGATAATTGTTTTTTTTTTTTTTTTTTTTTTTTTTTTTTTGTATTCTTTGTACAGACGAGGTTTCACCATCTTAGCCAGGCTGGTCTTGAACTCCTGAATTCAAGTGATCAGCTGCCTCTGCCTCCCAAAGGGCTGGGATTAGGGACGTGAGCCACTGCACCCAGCGAATAATCCTTTCTGAAGGAAGATACCTTCAAAACAGCCTCTCAAACAGAATGTTCCTAAGTTGATAAGCACATGGTAGAAAAAATAGTAAATAAATAAATCAATCACAAAATGCATAAGAAATCAAGTTACCATGAACAACAGCCAGCAAAATGTGTGTGGGGGTGGGATGAACAGGCAGAATGAGACCTGCAAAGAATTTTCAAACACTAGAATTGTTGAGCAAAAAATACAACGATGTTTAATCTGCTTAAGGAAATAAATTAAGAATATGAAAAAGGAGCATGTAGAATTGAAAAAGAACTAAATAAACTTCCAGAGAAGAAAAAATACACTACTGTAAATACAAAATTGAATGGACAGCATAGACAGATGAAAATATGAAAAAAAGATGAAGACACATGGGGGACAAAGTGAGACAGTTTCATAAATATCTGAGTTCCTAAGGAGAGGAGAAAGAAAATGGGAGAGGGGCAATATTTGAAAAAATACTGGCTGAAAGTTCTCCAGAATTTATGAAAGATTTTACTTGTCAGATTAGAAATTCCAAGGCATCGCAAGCAGAGTAATTAAAAATAAATCTACAAATAGACATCAAAACTACATAAGACCAAAAACAAAAAGATCTTAACAGCCATCCAAGAGAAATTATATGTTACCTTCAAAAGAAGAATGTTTAGACTATCACCTTTTTCCATAGCAGAAGAAGTCAATGTGCACTTCAGTGTACAGGCGGAAAAACAACTATGAAGTTAGAATTATATACCCAGTAAAATATCTTCACAGAACAGGAGAAAAAGTAAAGACAATTTAGACAAACAAAAACTAGAATTAACCTTAAAGTAAGAAAGAAAGGTGAAATAAAAGGAAGGTAAGAGTTAGAAATAAAACTATATCAATACATAAAAATAAAGATAAAGGGACTAAACATTCTAAGTAAAAGAAAAAGACTGTCAGGTTGAATCATCAAATGAAATTTAACATGCTATGCACAAAGAATATATCTAAAATACAAACGATTATCAATGATGAAAGTAAAGGGATGGGAAAGCCATATAAGACAAAATATTAATGAAAAGAAAGCTGATATAGTTATAGATTATGGATAGACTTTACAACAAAATGACAAAAAGTACAATTTATCAGAAATATAAAAATAATTCTAAATTTGAATATATTTAATAACATAGCCCCAAAATTATTAATGCAAAAATTGACAGAACTGTAAGAAAGTAAGAAATGTCCGTTGTCACAATGGAAGATGTTACAAGATACCTCTCAGTTATTGACATATCAAGCAAGCAAAAATATCAGCAAGTAAACAAGCTTTAAACAAAATGAACACACTGATCTAAAGATCATAGAACATTACACTCAACTGGTGAAGAATGCATATTTTTTATACTAACACCAAGAATTTCTATGACAAGTGATATGCTATTACTTGACATGAAACAAGGTGTAACAATTTTCAAAAAATTGGTATACAGACCACAAATACTGGTCATAATACAATTAAGTATCTAGTTATCTAGTTGTCTGGTTAACTAGTATCTAGTTATCTACACTAGATTAAAAAATTTTGAAAAATTTAAAAATTAAGAAACATACTTCTAAATAATTCACTGGTCAAAGAAAAAAAAACCTAACAAATATTAGGAAATATTTTGAATCAAACAATAATGAAAATACTGTATGTGAAAATTTTAAGAATATATGTTTGCAGTATTATCAGCTTATATTAGGAGGCAACTGAAAATACAATAAGCACCCAACTTACTAAGATAAAAAAGGAGCAAAATAAATCAAAGAATGTTAGAAAAAGGAAATAATGAATATAAAAGCATAAATTATTAATATATTTTTTTAAACAAAGTCTCGGCTCTGTCACCCAGGCTGGAGTGCAGTGGTGCAATCTCGGCTCACTGCAACCTCCGCCTCCCAGGTTCAAGCGATTCTCCTGCCTCAGCCTCCTGAATAAATGGGATTGCAGGTGCACACCACCATGCCCAGCTAATTATTTTTGTATTTTTAGTACAGACGGGGTTTCACCATGTTGGTCAGGCTAGTCTCAAATTCCTGACCTCATGATCCACCCACCTTGGCCTCCCAAAGTGCTAGGATTACAGGCATGAGCTACCGCATCCAGCTTAAAATTTTTTAAAACATACACAGAGAAAATGTTCTTAGAGCACACTAACAGAATTGAAAAGAGT